GTATGCTCAATGAAACTGTCGGTATGTTTGCATACCAGGCTGTTGAATTTAGTGCTGTGAGTGATTGCCTTGATACTCATTGTACTGTAACTTCAACTTTATATTATTATATTAAATGGCGCCTACACTAGCTGTAGGAGCTTATGAGTCATGGTGAGAGGAAGTCAGCAGGCAGTAAATCAGAAACGTGGCCTAAAGACACATAAAAAACTTTCACATTGACCACCAACAGCCAACAGTACATTGTGGTGTAGTGAAAGAGGTTGTGCAAAATCTCTGGCTGTCAACTACAGTATAGTTCCTGTCTTAAGGCGTAGAAGCAAGACACTCCCTGCACCTTTGACCTGATGGCAACAGCTCATATTAAATTAGAGGATGTGATGCATGAATTACCTGCTCTTTCCTTATCAGCGAGGTGTTGACTTCCACCCTATCTTCCTTCTTAACTGAGTCATCACTCCACTTTAGACACAATACTTTACATCCTCATCCCACCCAAAATAGACTTTGAAAAGTGTGTGCAACCCTAACACAGCCCAGCATGTCATAATTGTAAATCACTTGGTTGAATATTACACTACCATAATGTCTAGGGTGTTCATAAAAGAAAAATTAAAGATTGTATGTGTGTGTGTATTCCACACAAATAAGTGATTATAAATTGTGTATCTACCACCTTTTCTTAAAGTAAGTGTCACAGTCCTTTTTCAGCATCGGTACCTCGTGCCGCATTCGTGTGGACAGAATTAGATTCACAGTTCCCAAATGTATGTGTGTGTCTGTGTGTATTTGTGCCAGAATGTGTGGTCACTCCCAAGTGTATTAAAGTAGCGCATTGCTGCTGGTTGTGGCTGTCTGTGTGTTCCAACCACAGATTACAGGGCCTGTCGGCAGACGGGGCTCTGAACATGGGTCACAAGACAGCCCAAAATGTGACAAGTTCATCTCAGAGAACTGATAGCTGGTATCGTGTATCTTAAAGCACATGTGCTTATATAGAACAGAATTTGTTGTTATTTCTGTATGTGGGTGGACTGGATGTGTGGTTCCGTATGTGAGTGTGTCGTACATGTGTTTGAGTAACGTTAAACCACTGTGGTACTAATATAAAAGCACAGTAAACAGTGTCAGGGCTGCTCTGGACGCAGAAATAATGTAATTCATTTATACCTTACAGTAAAAAAAAGTATATTCATCAGCATAAAACCTACATACAAACTATGAGTTCCAACAGGAATACAACGGCTCCTCAGTGGTCTCTTGTTATAGGGTAATAACACCAGCATCAGCCTGATACAAGAACATTTCAACATGAGGGTCATTTATTTGAATTACCCAGCCTCCAAAGGCCTTGCAAACCAGTATGAAACTACAAAAATGGCACAAATTCTTTGTTAGCCCCAAAAGGTTGCACACTGCTACCCAAAACAATCTCAACCAGCAATTTCAACCACAGTTAATATGCTGGTTTAACACCTAACAGTAGCCTAGTCGATTGTGAAGGCACACAATAACATTGATTAGTTAATATAAATAGCTTGCAGAAGCCTGGCTCAAGCTAGAAACTGTAAGGTAAGCTAGTTTGCTAGCCCGACCCTCCAAGATCATGAATAATAGAAATATAAATAGATCACTGACATTGCTATTTTGAATTTCTATTATTTCCTTAGTTGCCATTCAAGTTTCCCACGTGGGTAACAAAACCTGAATGACTATTTGCCTCCACCACCCACTGTGGTTTGACGTGACAAGTGAAAAGATATCTGCCAACATACTGTGTCACCAAAGCTCCGGGCTGCCAACAACTGTTTGACTAAACACTGCACTAATCTGTAATGTCTTAATTTAATGTCATTTAAGCTAGAGCCGGGGTCTACACAAGGTTTCTGCCTCTTAAGAGGAAATTTTCCCTTCTACTGTCTCCAAGTGCTTGCTAATGGTGGGAATTGTTTGGTCTCTGTAAATAATTTTGAGGGAGTACAGTCTAGACCTGCTCTATATGAAAAGTGTCCTCAGATAACTTCTGTTTATGGTTTGGTGCTGTACAAATAAAGTTGAATTGAACATGTAAGTTTGTTTAGAAATAAGCGTAGGCTTTAGCTTGTGTGTCCAACACAAGAAACATTTAATATCTGAATGGAAAAGTATAATTTGAGTTGTGTGTTTGTGTGTGTGTGTGGTGTGTGTTTACAAAAAGCACCAAACCTTGTGGGTGAATCTGCTTTTCTGTGTGAGTTGTTTGTCTGGCTGTCACCAGTCAAGTCCAGTCTGTCATTACAGTCAGTTTTAATGAATGTGTGTGGGTGGGAGCTGGTCAAACCAGTTTGTGCCAACCTGTCTGTGTGTTAATATGTGTGTGTGTGGTGTGTGGGTGTGTGTTTACAAAAAAGCACCAACCCTTGTGGCGTGAATCTGCTTTGCTTGTGTGAGTTTGTTTGTCTGGCTGTCACCAGTCAAGTCAGTCTGTCATTCAGGTCAGTTTTATGAATGTGTCGTGGGTGGGAAGCTGGTCAAACCAGTTTGTGCCACGCTGTCTGTGTGTATATGTGTGTGTGTGTGTGTGTGTGTGTGTGTGTGGCGTGTAGTCCTGGGTTGTAAGCCTAATTATATAACAACGACCTCTCTCAGATCAACTCCACCTCTGCCTCGCTCCTCTCTCTCTCTTTCCTAGGTTTTCTCTTTTCTTCCTCTTCCATCCCACAACACCACCACACACCACACGACCACAACACACACCACACACCCAACACACACACACACACAGTGCAGCATCGATGGAGTACACAGAGGTACATCCTGTTATTGTCAGATCATTCATGTGGATTGTGACCGTGTTCATTGTGTCCCTGTGAGGGTGGTGGCTGTCATGTCTTGTATTTTACCATTCAACTTCCATTGCATTGTCTCATGTTATAAGCACTGACAACTCTATTGAGTGCAGAGGGAGGTTTCTTTTATTATGTATTGTGTTGTGCTTGTATATAGACTAAACTGTAGCTGTATTATCTGTTAGTTCTTATGACTTGTGTATGATCACGGCTCCAGACCAGTCATCTGTTGCATGTACACCAGCTAACTGGTAGTTTAAATAAGTTTATTCCAGTTTATTCCAGTTTATGTGATTATTGTGTGAGGTAGGGCTACAAATAATGATGTTAGCATTATTATTCTTTTTTTTTATTTATTTAATTTTCATTAAGTGATAATAATTTGTCTGTAACATGTAAAAATTCCCAGTAGAGATGCAGGGAAAGAAAGAATGGCAGGAATTGAATCAGGGTTGATTGATTATGTACAATCGGTACGCTACTAAACGCTCATATAAGGGACATTTTTACAAATAAATACTGGATTAGCCCAGGAAAATATTTAGCAGAGGTGGTCAGCCATGCAGATTGTGACTCAATCAGTTAAGTTAGTATAGGATGAACTAAACAACAGCCACATTTATTAAATATATGGCGCTCGTTGTGTGAAATATGTTTTGATTCACAAAATTGTATACTTTTTATGTTAGCGAGGTAGCCCACCTCTGCTATAAAACACTTCAGTTATCAGAATTATCATTGATTAATTTTTTGGTGGTCAAGTATTTCATTGATTGAATGATCATCTTGTGTTGAGATTCTCATGGAGAAAGTTTTCAGTACCACCAAAGTAACACCAAGCTACATTTACATGACACTGTGTCTGTGTGTGTGTGTGTTTTTCGTGCTGACTTGTCCTGGTGCAACACCTCCCACCTCAGCACAGCGTGGACCAGGCAAAGTCGTGACTTGAGACGCCCTCAAACATTCTGCCACTGTGTGAATCCAGCTCTATAATAAACTGCTGTGGCATTAACGCACTTAACATTAAAGACAAGTTTTAGTTTAGAGGGTAGGCTTTTTTTTTTTACAAGCTGAAGCCATTTTGAAATGGTAGCCGCTGCCTGAGGAAGAATTTTTGTTGACTGAAGAGTTTTTGTATTGCATAGAAAATATTTGTTCCGAGGCTTAAATACCCATGTTCACCTTCCCACCTGGTATTTTCAATGTCAAAGTATTGACCTTTTGTTTTTGTTCATATGGATTTTACACATCTGTCACAGGCATAGTTACAAAAGACTTGCACACCACATACTGATGTTATTTTGTACATTTCTACGTGTTTTCTTTGATTTTACTGTGGAAGGTATGATTGTTTCTCTGCAGTATTACCTGATACAGAAAATAAGAATCTAATAAACTGTTTATTTAAAGGTCCAGGGTGTAACATTTAGGAGGATCTATTGGCAAAATTGGAATATAATATTCATTGGTATGTTTTCATTGGTGTATAATCACCTGAAAATAGTAGTATGTAGTTGATGCTAAGTATTTTTAAGTAGAATCCGCATCTAGTTTGACAAAAACAAATGTGATAACAGAGCCTTTGAATGGGGGAAAAATGCATCGGGCGGGTATTAAGTTTTAATTTCATATTAGAAGTCAGTTAGCTGGTATGACCGCAGACACAGAAGGACTCTGAAACCTAACGTGAACTTTGCTCATGTGATGTTTTTTTCCAGTATTAATTTATTTTACCTTAAAGAGCTGCTGTCCCTGATATGATTTCATTAGCCTGCATTTCTGTCCCACTTTAAAGCTTCAGGGGTATTTTCTGACCCCAAAAATATGACCTTCTTACACATTCATGTGAGTTACTGCTCTCAGATCTGGTGGTTTGTGATCCAAAATTCACATCATTCACTTCATGGAGAGTGTGCATTTCCCTAAAGATGTTCTCTATCCCCAAAACAGCTTTTTTTCTCCTTGACAATGAATGTTTGATTTACCTTCTACAATAAGAACACACATCCTTAGTAATATTTTGTCACATAAATCATAATCATCATCTTTTGGAATCTGTGTTATAAGTTGAAACACATTTTGTAAACAAGTTTGAGCCCCACGCTACTGTGTACAACATAACATATTCAGTTATCATTCTAATAATTCTTCCTCTCTATCTCTGTCCAGTGACAGCTACATTGTGCGTGTGAAAGCGGTGGTGATGACGCGGGACGACTCGAGCGGTGGCTGGCTGGCCCAGGACGGGGGAGCTCTGACCAGGGTTGGGGTGTGCCGCCTCCTGCCACCAGAGCTGGCACCCGTGCCGGCCTCCAGCTATTCCCAGTTCCTCATCCGCGGTGAGCGGTTGCAGGACAAACAGGTAAACACACGCAAACATCAGCAAAATCACCCAAAGGTCCTTGAAGGATCAGATGTGGAATATTTCGCCCTGTTGTAATTGGCCCATATGTGCCGGATAAACAGGTGATCCTGGACTGTCCGCTGAGGAAGGACCTTGTGTACACCATAGCAACGCCCACATTTCACCATTGGAAGGTAGAGGACAGGAAGTGTGGCCTGTCCTTCCAGAGTCCAGCCGACGCCAGAGCGTTCGACAGGGGGGTACGGAAAGCCATCGAGGACCTGGCTGAAGGTACGCTGTGCTGCATTGTAACTATCCAGAAATCTACATTATCAGGTTATTGATATTGAGCAGATGCAGTTGAGTTTATTATGAAGAGAGATGTCACATGTAAAGATGAGAACACTCGACTAATTAAAATCATACAGCTGTAGGACTGTTGTGATGTGAAATGCTTCTTTCATCACTGTAATACCGCCTTGGCTTCTTTTAAGTCCTTCTCCTGTTCATTGCCAGCGGATAAGCGTCAGGGTTATTCTCACAAACACATCATCTAGTCAAGTGTTGGCACCTGTTTCCTTCTCCTTAGGCTCCACCACCTCCTCTACAGCACTCCAGAATGAGGGCGAACTGGGTGACGACGACGTCTTTACTGTAAGCATGTCTTCTACATTCATTTACTGTCCAAGTCAGAATGATGGGTCTCTTTTTTTACTTCAGTGACAACTTAGTCAGTCTTGAGTTAGTAGCTATCCCAGTTTGATCAAAGATTGAGCGCAATAATGATTATTGAAACCAAAAAAGAACTCTCAAATTGGGGGTCTGTGGTCTAGTGTGCATCTATTGTGGGGGTCACTGCGTCTCAATTATGTATAGACTCAAGTGAATATTATCTGGACTGTTGCAGTCCTTTCTTAGTTCCCAGACTGTGGCTCTGTAGAGTAAACCATGGTTCCAGTACACACTGAACAACTATTCATCCAAAACCCCAAGGGAGTCTTCTGCATCTAAAAAATCTCAAGACTTTGTTTCCTCCATCTAGCAGAACCTTTTCCAACTCAGGATCCCCTGCCTGTCGCGTATACCTGCCACAGCACATGAAGTATATGTGTTGTTTGTGTGTCAGGGCCTCTCTACCTCTAAGTTAGCATGAAGGACCCCCTCCCCCCACTCTGTAACCT